AAAAAAAAAAAAAAAAAAAAAAAAAGGATCACCAAACACTTCGAAATAGAAAAAAAATAAAAAAAAAATAGTTAGCACCACTCAAACTCAGAGAAAATATATTTCTAAAAAGAATATAATGGGTAACACCGGAATTCACAAGACCACTAAAACTCAGTCAAGAAGAACTGAATTTTTTTTTTTTTAATGGTGAGGGAGCACAACCACACACAAACAAAGAAATAAATAAAAAAGCTATATCATATTCAACGCAGATACCGCGTCCCCCACCCAGCAACAAACACAGAGTGTAAAAAAAAAAAAAAAAGAAAAAGATCACCACCGGACCGCTCAAGAAACCACGACCCTACCTTCAGCGCGCACGGACCACGATCGCCAAACGCCCGAAAACCCAGAAACCGGTCCTCGCCAACCGCCGTACCGCAGGCCCTTCGCGAAGTAACCGAAGACAAACCCCACCCTCCGCAAACCAAGAAAATAAACTGAAGAGGACCACCGCGCAGGCAGAGCGACAGACGCCGGCCCGAACCCTCCGGAAGCAGGAATCGCCAAGGACGGGGAAGATTTCATTTTTTCTCGCCCCCATGCTCGCCCATGAAACCTCTTTTCGAACACAGCGGGCCCGCCCAGCCGCAGTTGCGCTTTTAAGAACTTCTCCTTCGGATTGACGACCTCGAACCCCACAAACACCTGTCCAAACCCAATTGGATTACCCGTTTCGCTGCCACGACGGTGGCGCGTTCCGGCACCCATCTGGAGCAAAATAGAGTTGTTTTTTCTCTTTTGTGGCGGCACAAATACGCCCAAGTACTGAATTCGTGCTTTGGACTTGCTCGCCCCGCACGGGTTAAATCCTGGCAAGAAGATGGCGGCACCACATGGAGTTATCGAGTGTCACGCCTTTGGCGTCTCACAACGACTGGCGGGGTTTACGTGAAGAGTGCGCTTTTTTTCGCCACACCACAGAGGCACAAGCGCCGCACCCACGGCCACCATTGTGCTAACTGCTGGCGCTTTCGCCGCATCCGCTGATGCCGTCGAGGGCCCGCAAATGATCCGAGCGCCTTTGACCAGAAGAGTGGGAAGCCT